AGGAGCAGGCAGAGGACAGGGACTGTTACTTGGCAAAGGCTTGGGGCTGGGCGGGCAGGCCCAGGAAAGACGCGGCCTCACCTGCTGCCCCACGTGCAGCCGGCGCGAGGCCCTGGGGACGCGCATGCTCTGACAGCGTGTCTCCTGCGTGTCCATGCTCAGGGCGCAGGCCTCCAGGCCCCGCAGGCTCTCTGTGGAGGGGCGTGCAGTTACAGGGCTCCCTGCCAGCCCCGCAGTGCTGTGGGGTTAGGGGAGCCCTGTGTGCCCCCTCCATCCTGGGTGTCCCCTCTCACCGTGCAGCCTGAGAGAGGTGTTCACACGCAGCAGCAGGGAGCAGCCGTCGCGGGGATCACACTTCATGGCGGTGGAGAGGGTCAGGGCCCCCAGGACTGACCGGGGCATGGACGCGGGGGGCTGGTGGCAGAAGCTGCTCAGAATGCTCCCTGGGGAGGGAGGAGGGGGTGAGTGCCACAGGCTCCCTGGCGCCCAGGGAAGCTTCCGGGCCAGGCTGTGGGGGAGGGCTCTGGGGTGCACAGCCGGGAGGGGCCCTCAGGACCTTGCCCAGGGCCACCAGGGCCCGTCCCCTGCCCCCGGGGAGTGGGGCTCAGGCCGTCTGTGGGCAGCAGGCGTGGGGCCGGGCCAGTGGGGCCGGCCGACCCTGAGCTGCGGAGACCGACAGGCCGTAGGTCTCCGCTCCTGTGCGTTGTAGCCTCGCTGCCCCTTAGTTCCTTCTCTTTCTTTTTTTGTTAATCCTCATCGGAGGACATGTTTTTTCCCACTGATTTTTAGAGAGAGTGGAATGGAGGGAGGGAGGGAGGGAGAGAAACCATCCAAGTGAGAGACACATCAGTTGGCTGCCTTCTGCACGAACGGCTACACAGGTGCGGGCGGGTGCGCTAACCACTGACCCCGGCCGGGCTGCGGTCCCTTTTTTCCAGCATCAGAAGGTGCTGTTGGGAAGTCCGACACCGTATGCTTCTCTGTCCACCTGTGAGCTGTAGACCCTTTGCCTCGATGCCCCAAAGACCTTCTCTCTTTAAAACCCAGTGACTTCGCCAGAAGAGGTTTTGGTGTTGGGTGTTTGGGACCGATATTCTTGGGGGTGCGGTGCGCCCTCTCGATATCTAGTTTAAAGGAAGCATTTCAGATCTTGGACAGTGGCTGTCAGAGTTTGTGGCGGAGGTTTCTCCCTAAGAGAGCATCGTTTTGGGACGTCTTTGCCTATTGGTAACCTTTACCCTTTTTTCACGCGTCATTCACGTCATTTTATTTATTTATTTATTTTAACGTATGAATTGTTTATTTCTGGGTTTTTCCATTTATTATTTTTAAAAAAGATTCTTATTGGTTTCAGAGAGGAAGGGAGAGGGAGAGAGAGAGAGAAACATCAATGATGAGAGAGGATCATGGGTCAGCTGCCTCCTGCACGCCCCACACTGGGGATCGAGCCCGCCACCCAGGCACGTGCCCCGACGCTCAGTCCACTGAGCCACACCAGTGGGGGCATGGCCTCTGTTCTTCCTGCCTCTGTTGCCCTTGTTCTGCTCAGCCTCGAGGTCGCTCCGGGCTCCGCGGTCCCTGGAGCAGCTGGGACCGTGGGAGGTGGTGGCTCTGCCCTCCGTCGGGGGGTCCAGGAGCAGAGCCACCCGAGGGCGCTGGCACCCACTGACCAGCCGTTTGTTTATTTTTTCATTGTTTCCCTCGTCCGAAGTGACACTCAGGAAAAGCACAGCTCCCAGAAATGGCCGAGATCTTACCGCCCGTTTTCCTCGAGGGTTTTTATAGTTTTGATCTCACACTGAAGTCTTCAATCCAGTGTGAGTTTGCTCTCGGGTGCGGTGTGGGACGGTGGTCCCGTTTCCCTTTTCTGCCATGTGATTTGTCCAGTTTTCCCAGCACCATTGATTGAATAGACGGTTTCTACCCCACCGTGTGTTCTTGCCTCCTTTGGCCGTAAGGGTGTGGGTTTATTTCCGGGCTCTCTATTCCGCTCCACCGATCGGTGTGTCTGTTTTTATGTCAGTGCCGGGCTGTGTGTTTCTTTTCTCATGACCAACCTAAGTCATTTATGTAAGCCATTTCCTGCCATAAGCAAAGAGACGGGAGATCCGCGCTCTGTAGTCATCGTTTTACTTTAGGACAGAGTCAGCTTAAGGTCCCGTACACTCTTCTGGCCCATGTGCAGAGTATGGCCCAAACCAGTGCCGTGGGCCCACTGGGTACTGGTCCAGGTTCTGTTTATTCGACTTCGTAGCCGGTGGGCAGCGGGTTCAGATGCGGATTATGGAACAGAGGACGGTGCCATCTCCCCGGGGGCAGGGCTTGGTCCTGAGGCGCAGGTGGGGTGGGCGACGAACCCGGCCGCTGGCGCTCCCCCTGGTGCGATTGAGAAAGACGCAGCATGCTCACGCCCGCCCGGGCAGCCACGAGGTCGGTGAGGGCCTGCCGCAGGCGAGCGGAGCCCTCCTCGCCGTGGGCACCACTGGACATGGGCCGCGCCAGCTGGGGCCGCAGCCGACCCAGAGCCCAGAAACCCGGGACGCAGCCGCAATCGCCGTCTTTTTACCGAGCAGCCCGGTGCTGTTGTGGTCGCTCTGGCCTGGGTCCAGTTTGACGTCAGGTAGCGTGATTCCTCCCACTTGGTTCTTTGTTCCCCTCAGAATGGCTGCGGCCCTTCGGGGTCTTTTGTGGTTCCATACGCGTTGTAGTGGTGTTTGTCCTCGTCCCGTGGACACGCCGTGGCCTCTCGACAGGAATTGCGTTGAATCTACCTGCCCTGGGAAGTGTGGACGGCTTAGTGACGCTGGTTCTTCCTGTCCGCGGACGTGGTATATGCTTCCACGTATTTGTAACTTCTTCGAATTCTTTCATTAATTTAATGTCTTACAGTTTTCTGAGGACAGGCCTTTGACACCTCGGCTAAATTTATTCCCATGTGTCCTTTTTTGGATGAAATTGTAAATGGGATTGTTCTCTTAGCTTCCCTTTCTGAGAGTTTACTGTCAGTACATAAAAATGCAACAGGTATCTGGGTGTCTACTTTGCACAGAATCCTGCTACTCCACGGAATTCATTGATCTGCTCTAGTAGTTTTTTGGTAAAATCACTCTTATTCAACCCAGGACTGGGCGTCCTAGCCACCGCAGTCAGATGGAAAGAAGAAATAAAAGGCACCCATTGGAGAGGAGGAAGTGAAGTGGTCACTGCTTGCAGATGGCACGACACTGTGTGCCAGCAGAGGGACCCAAAGACTGCACCACGCCCTGGCCTGTGTGGCTCGGTGGATAGAGCGTCGGCCTGCAGACTGAAGGGTCCCGGGGTCGATTCCTGGTCAAGGGCACGGACCTGGGTAGCAGGGTCCTCCCCCCCTCTTTAGATTGTTTCCTATTAAACTCAAATTAAATAAAATACTTATTTTAAGTGGCATAAGGTAAATTTTATTTCTATAAAATATTTTTATCTGCTTATCCTATTATATGTGCCTACAAAATTGTCTGAACAATGTTTTCCTAATGTAAATCATGTTCAGTCTATACAGGGGCTTTGTAGTAAAATGTATTTTTAAAACATTTTTAATCCTCACCTGAGGATGTGTTTTTATTGATCTTTAGAGAGAAGACGGGAGAGAAAGAAACATCCATGAGACTGGTTGCCTCCTGCATGTGCCCGACCGGGACTCGAACCTGCAACCTTTGGTGGATGGGCCCAACTGAGCACCCACCAGCCAGGGCTGGAGTGACATTTATTTTGACTTTCTTCCTAATATAATAGTCGACACCACTTATGTCC